GTTCAATCAATCAATTCCAACTTTGCAAGATCTTTTTTTTTCCCACGAGAAGTTGAAATTGACTGATTGATTGAACCTTTTTTTTTTTTGGCACACGGCGGTGGAGGCCTAAAGCGAAAAAGTTTTATAAAACCCAGCTGAAGGCCTAGGACTGGGGCGACGGCGTGCGTGCCCACAGAGAGCGCTCTGAGTGCCGCCTCTGGCACCCGTGCCATAGGTTCGCCACCACTGCTCTCGACTATCCATACCCAGTTCTTGCAGCTGTTCTTCATATACCGCTTGAGAATGAAAAGCAGTTAGTTGGAAAAATCAATATTGAAAGGAGAAATCTGCAGGCAGGATCTTCTGGTTAATTGTTAGCTTGGCCTTTTTCGATAATCAGGAGATCTTGGTTTCTGTCAGCACTGGGTGAGTGTAATTGTGAGAGAGGAGATGCAATGCTCCAGTCACTTTACTGGCTGGGATCTTTTCTGCAAAGCTATTATGGTGCTTTGAAACGATCTTTTCTCTCCGAAGGAAAAGATTTCATTTTGACCTCCTCATCCTGCCCGCCCAGTCATGGGGTTGCTATTTTGAAAAGGCAGCAGAATGGCTAACTGGACTGATGTTTGATCTACAGTAGCCAGCTGAATTTTCTTGGCCCAGCACCCAAAATGCCTGTTTGCAGATCAAACGGGGTTGCTGCTTAGAAAGGAGATTGTAACCATGGAGGGAAAAACGGAAGAGACCAAACGCAGGGAAATACGAAGTATGAGCTGCATTGCAAAAAGTTGGAAAGGGCACATTTCAGGTGAAGTTTAAGCTTTTGGGAAAGTATTCATTGAAACGTGCAGCATTAGATACATTTGCATTCCTGCTCTGAATCTGCTGAACTTTCCCCCTTTAATTTACCTTTAAGATTACAAATTTGGGACAGAAGTCAAGGAACCCACCCTAAATCATTACTTCTCAGCTTGACAGCTTTAAGACATCTGGATTTCAACATTCAGCATTCCCCAGCCAGCTATTGCAGCACTCAGCCGAGCAAAGAACAAGTAAAAGAAGCTTGAGGTGCAATCTTTAGTTATGGGAGCTTCCCCCCCCCCCCCCGTGTTTGGTCTCTTTTCCATTTTTCCTCCATGATTATAATCTCTTTTGAATTGTTTTAATAAGCAGCAACCTCATTTGTCACCCAGCCGGCTTTCGTACCTAAGGCAGGATTAGAATTCAGAGTTTTCTGCTTTCTATTCGGATGCCTTCACCACTAAATCAAAGTGGCTCTACTTATTTATTGTTGTTGACTTATGTATTTAGTTCAACTGTTGCAGGCAGGCTTGAATCCTACTGCAAAATTCCCCCAGTGCTTAGCTGGCTCCAGGGCACCCAGCTGTCTTTAGACTCAGTTTGTGGCTATATTTGGAAAGGAGAATCGTGACGTGTCTCTCTGGATGTTTCACAGGCAGTGTTTTTCCCCAGAGCATAGCTTTCTCCAGTCAGGCACCAAAGAAGGAGTAACACCCATGTATTATGTTCAGGGCATACCTTTCTGTGTTCCAATGGGCAATGCCAAAACTGCTGGATGTCAATCCAGGAGACTGGTTTGGGAGCAGGATCCTTGCTAGTTGCCCAGCCTTGCTCCAGTCTATAACATCCATTCTATCACATTTTGTTTTGGGATCCCAATCTTCCTCTTCCTCTTTTTTCCTAGGCACCTATCCAGTGGTGGGATACAGCTGGTTCGCACCCCTTCAGCAGAACCGGTAGCTAATTTTTTGTTGCCCAGGCCCAGAATGGACTTCCGGAAGCGGCAACCACACAGAGAACCAGTTGTTCACCTATCTGAATCCCACCACTGGATGGATGGATGGATCGATGGATGGATGGATGGATGGATAGATGAATAGATAGATAGATAGATAGATAGATAGATAGATAGATAGATAGATAGATAGGTAGATAGGTAGAAAGATAGATAGATAGATAGATAGGTAGGTAGATAGGTAGAAAGATAGATAGATAGATAGATAGATAGATAGATAGATAGATAGATAGATAGATAGATAGATAGATAGAGTGATGGGATTCAGCCAGTTCTCTCCACTTCAGCAGAACCGCTAGTTAATTTTTTGTTGCCCAGGCCCAGAATGGACTTCCGGGAGCGGCATCCACACAGAGAACCGGTTGTTCAGCTATTTGAATCCCACCACTGCACCTATCCCCTTGTTCTGCCTTTCCAGAAGGAAAGTCTCAAATTCTGTTGTGGCACTGTCTTCTACTTGGCCTGATTCCAACTCACCCGGCTCGTCAGTTTCCTTATTTCATTTGTACAAACTCCATTCTCATTTTTTGAGTTTGCAGGCCCAGCTCAACCTATCCTGCACACGCACACGCACATATAGACACACAAACAGACGTCTGATCTATTTCAGGATTTCTGGCTAATCTTATTCTTTGCCTGTATTTTTCGGACAGGCACTCTATTTGAATACAACCTGTTTCAACTCCTTCTCTCAACTAACCACAGGGATGGTTTCTTCCCTTATGGCTTATGCCATTACTCTGCTGAACGCCTAATTTTCACAGATGACGCAATACAATGATTGCTAAGTTTTTTGTCTAATGTGTAGGTATATTAGCAAATGGGGTGTGACTGTCCCTTTTATTATTTTTTACTTCTCCCTTTTATTGGCTGTGCACTTTATGATTAATATTAATCACGATGATTATATTCTGTTGTTTTGCAAGTACACTGAGTGCTTCTGAGACAAATTCCTTGTGCATTTAACCACCCTTGGCCAAATAAATAAGGTATTAAGTATAAGCAGAGGAATTTCTCTTTAGCACAACATTATAGGTGCACGCAGCTTTAGGGATGAGATATTTAATATGGCTTCATTTGCACTTGATGGTATTCTACATTAAAAAGCCCTTCACACTTGTCACAGTTTGGACTTTGGTCAGAACGTGACAGCATTTCCCAAGCTTCTTTATTGGATTTTCTGAAACAGAGTGATTCACTCTGGAAACCGGCTGCAAAGAGATAGATTTTGATTAGGCGGTTTAGACACAACAGCCTGTCACAAGGAAGTGGATTTGTTGCTATATGATGAAATGCAGGCTGCTTCTGATGAGCTCTCTTTGGCTGCTGGAGAATAAATAAACAAATGGGCAGAGTTTCAGTTTAACATCCTTATGGATGGAGGAAAATATTATGGCAACACCAGCTCTCTGGTTTTGAATTCGCTCCCCCTCCCTCCCTCCCTCCCTCCCTCCCTCCCTCATGCTTTCCTGCCTCTCTTCGATTTGTGCAAAAGCCTTTGTCGCACAATTATCGAGAAACCTGTTTTGAGATTCAAAGGCAGGAAATATTGGGTAGGTGCCAATGCCTTGCATGGAACGCCTGTACTGCTTATCCCAAATACTTCTGGGAATCTGGACTCCAGAGGATACCTTAAAGGTTAATGGGCCTCTTTGGGATAGATGTGATGTTTGTCGACAAACAGATTGTTGTTATCTTCTGTTGTGTACATTTGCTCTTGTTTAGTTGCTGTGCATTTTCATGTGAGTGGCTCAGAGTCAATGTTGTAAATACAGTATTTATTCAATGAAAACATAAGCAAAACCTTTAAAAACATCTTCATTTAAATAATAATAATAATAATAGTAATAATAATAATGATGATGACGACGACGATGATGATGATAAAGTTGGACTTTGGAGGTCATTTAGTCCAACTCCCTGCTCAGGCAGGAAACCCTACACCATTTTGGACAAATGGCTGTCTAGTTTCTTCTTAAAAACTTCCAGTGTTGGAACATTCACCACTTCTGGAGGCAGGTTGTTCCACTGGTTAATTGTTCAAGATGTACGCAAGATGTATGCAAGAAGGAACTTCTCCACTTAGTAGGTTCAAGATAGATAAAAGGAAGGAATTTAGCTTTTTACAAAAGGCCAAGCATCACCCCAATCTAAGGGAGTGGTTAACCTGGAGAATGGCCTTGTCAAATTATGCCAATTAACAGCAGGAGGATTTTTAATGGGGGGGAGGACTTTGAAGTAGGGTTTCCTGCCTGAGCAGGGGGTTGGACTAGATGACCTCCAAGGTCCCTTCCAACTTTACTACTATTACTATTACATTGGCTCTCTCTTTTTAGCAGAGGTTGGCTCACGTCCACCTGTCTGTAAGTGTGGCGAAGCCGTCGGAAGTCCAACCGGTGAAGCCTTTGCTCAGCCCGCGCCAAGACTATTAGAACCCGGGTACCCTTTTGCTCGCTTGGCCAATGCTGACGACCGAGCAACCCGGCTCCGGGGGAGCGACCGAGGAACTCCGCGCGACTGGAGGCGGGGAGGCTGGCTTTCAGCAGGGCGTGCGCTAGGACCCGGGGCCGCCGCCGCCCAGAGCCGAGGCAGACACACCTGTTTTCCTGGCTCCGGATTAACAGAGCGAGCCGACGGAGGAGTGCGTGGCCGTCCGGGCTCCGCTCGCGCCAGCTGCTGAGCCCCGCGGGCCCCGCGTCTCGGTTCCGAAAGAGGAGCCGCCTGTCCGCGGAGCTTCCCACCTGGGCTTCGGAGACGGAGGAGGCGAGAAGCCGGCTTCCGAGCGAGCAGCCGCGCCCGGCTCGCGGGGACTCCCCACTCGGAGCTGGAGCTGCGCGGGGGAACCGGCCCGGGGCGGGGGGGCGCGTCTGGCTTTCCACCTGGGTCGGCCGCTCCGGTTGAGCAGCTTTCGCCGAGCGCCGCCTCTTCCTGCTGCCCTTCCAGACCGGCTGCCCGGCGCTTGGGACTCAGTCTTGCTTTTCCTCCTTCTGTGAAATGGGCGCGCTTGGAAGCCGGGAAACCGTCGGCGCCTCCGCCTTGTCGGGGCGCTTTGCTGGCCCTGCCGGCCGTTTGAGAATCAGCTGCCTGCGCTCCCCTCGGAAAAGTGGCTGAAAAGAGGAGCCAGGGCTGCATTTCCAAGGGAGGCGAGTACAGAAGTGGGAAGAGCGGGGGTGGGGGGGGGAAGCTGCTCTCCGTGTCCAGACGGAGGCTCCTTTGTGGGTTGGGGGGGGAAGGTAAAAACCACCCCGGGCTGGAGCAGCTGAGAGAGGAATGGGCCCTTGGAAAGTGGCAGTGGCGGACTCTTCCGTGGAAGAATGCTCCGACCATGTCTCTCGTGGAAGGGGCAAAAGCCGTCCCCGCAAGGTTTTGCGCAGAGTGGCCTCGCAAGCGGTGACCAGGACCAACCCGCCGCTGGGCATCATCTTCACCACGCTCCTGTACTGCGGGGAGCTGGCCTCGGCCTGCGTGGTCAGCGTCTCCTACAGCCGCTCCAATGACCAGTTCTGGATGGTCCTGACTCTGCTCCTGATGCTCGTCTCCTCCGTCATGGTCCAGCTGACCCTCATCTTCGTCAACCGGGACTTGACCAGCGACAAGCCCTTCATCCTCTTCATGCACCTGGTGCTGCTGGGCCCACTCATCAGGTGAGGAGGGACACCTCTTCCCATTCCAAAACTTTGCTCCAGCAGCAGAGCGCCCGAGCGGGGTTCAAGGTGGCCTTGTCTTCCCCCAGCTGTGCAGGAATTAGCACCCCCCCCAATCCACATTGGGCTTTAAATTGTCTCACAAATACCTTGGGAAGCTTTGCGGCTTGTGAGAAACTAGAGAAGTGATGCTTGGTTAGCTTGTCCTTTGGATGGGGGGGGGGGTTGTGATTGTCAAAATGCCTTCTTCTGAACTTTCTGGGCTGGCCCAGATGCTTAGGCGCATTTCAGCGGCCAGGCGTGTTTTCAAGGTGGGATTTAGAACAGAATAGAGCTGGAAGGGGCCCTGGAGGTCTTCTAGTCCAGCCCCCTGCTCAAGCAGGAGAACCTACACCATCTCAGACAGGTGATTGTCTAGTCTCTTCTTGAAAATCTCCAGTGATGAAGCGCCCACGATTTTGGGGGCTAAGCTGTTCCACTGGTTGATTGTCCTCACGGTCAGGAAGTTTCTTCTTAATTCCAGGTTGCTTCTCTCCTTGATCAGTTTCCAACCATTGTTTCCCGTCCTTCCCTCTGGTGCTCTGGTGAACAACCTGACCCCCTCTGCCTTGTGGCAGCCCCTCAGATACTGGAACACTGCTACCATGTCTCCCCTATTTCTTCTTTTCTTTAGACTAGCCAAACCCAAATCCCACAGCCGTTCTTCGTACGTTTTGGTCTCCAGGCCTTTGACCATCTTAGTTGCCCTTCTCTGCATTACACTCAGCCACGGTTCACTTAAGCATAGTTTGTGGGGTAAACCATAATGGGCCAATGTCACACTTTGCCCCAAATGTTTACACCGGGGTTTTATCTCTCACAGTGATTAGCTGGATGCTAAACCAAGGACCCAATTTGCATCCCAACCAGGAGAGTCCCAAAATTAAGTGGTTTACATGTTCTGCTTGTGCTTCTTAAGACAAGCAATGGGTGGGGTCAAAAATGACAGTTCCGTTTGGAAAATGTTGATTTGAACATGAAGATGAAAGAGCTCTTCCTGTCTGAGATCATAAAACAGTGTTTCTCAACCTTGAGAACTTGAAGGTGTCTGGGTTTCAACACCCAGAATTCCCAGCCAGCCATGGGAGTTAAGTTGAACTTGATGCTTTCTGAGCCTGATTGTTTTCTTGCAGATGTTTCATCACCAAATGAGTTAACATTCTAGTAGGGAGTGAGGCTCCCTCTTCTCTTATGCCCCTAATATATAAAATGCCACACGTAAAATATATGTCACTAGAATATAAAACGAGAACAAACCCCACTCCCTACTGTGCCGGATGATGTTACTTAGTTTGGTAATAAAACGTCTGCAAGAAAACATGCTCAGAGAGCACCAAGGACCTCACAGTTCAACCCTGAGCTGCAAATATTCTCTTCCATTGGAACGCCAGACAAAGTTGCCAAGGTTGAGAAACACAATCATAAGTGTCTAACTTTGCTTCCTTCAAAAAATTAGTTCTTAGATTAGCTGTGTGTCTTCCTTCCCCCCTCCCGCCACGCTCATTTTGCTAAGTGTAGTTCTGGCTATTTGTCCTTGGTTTTTGCTCCGAGAGTGCTAGAAGCCAAGAGGCAGGTCCATCTTGGAAGCCAATGTTCTCTGTGGAGGAATGTTGGTGAGAATGGAAAGCTGAGATTCTGCCCTTTCACCAGAAGGAAATGTGATCTTCCCAGAATGTTTAGCATGCTCAAATGCCCTTGGGAGGTGCTAGAGCTGAAGATACTGCATGCTTCTCTTCAAATACGTCCTTTTGAAAAGGGAACTCCCTCTTTTAATGGGTGTTCCTAAGCTCCTCTCTTCTGGGTGCTGTGAAAAATTCCCCCGTCAACTTTCTTTGCTTTTTTTTAAAATTCAAGATCAGAGGTTGCTTGTTGATTCCATTTTTCCTCCGCAGGTATTAACAGGCTGAACTTGAAATCTAGGTTGCCAAAAACAAAATTGCAACATTGGCTTGGTGACATCATAACACTGGAAATGTTATTTTGAGAGAATTGAGGCTTCGGCCACACTCAACGAACTCTTCGCCAGTCTTCTCCTTTCTCCTTCCTGTTTCCACACCATGTTTACACCTTCAGCTACCAAGCAACCCAGTTAAATCTCTTGTGGTAGTACAGTGGTTAGAATGCAGAACAGCAGACTAACTCTGCCCGCAGCCTGGAGTTTGACCCAGATGGGCTTAAGATTGACTCAGCCTTCCTTCCTTCCTTCCTTCCTTCCTTCCTTCCTTCCTTCCTTCCTTCCTTCCTTCCTCCCTCCCTCCCTCCCTCCCTCCCTCCCTCCCTCCCTCCCTCCCTCCCTCCCTCTCTCCCTCTTATAAGCATCCCTTTTATGCTATGTCCTGGATAGAAGGAACTGAATTACCAAACATCTTTTCTATCCTTACCACTCTCTGCACCGCCTTCCTGTCTGAAGCAATATGCTTCCAAACCAGACAGTAATGCAATATGATAGGATGCTCTCGATCATCCCTCTGTAGAAAGTGTTAAGGACAGGAGAAGGAAGATGTACGTTTCTCGTGCGATGCAGAAAATGCAGATGCTGCTGTACCCACTTCACTGGGGTCTCACTGTTGAGCGACCAAGCTAGTTTGGCGGCTTATAGTTTCAAGATGTGTGCAAGAAGGAACTTGTCCACTTAGTAGGTTCAAGATAGATAAAAGGAAGGAATTTAGCTTTTTACAAAGCTCAAGGCTAGCTGCTAGCCATCCATTAGACTACACTATATTCCAAATATCTAAACTATGTTAGTACAGCCTTTTGATTTTTTAAAAAAGAGTTTGCATGGTGGTAAATAGTTGATTAGCTTTTTACAAAGCTCAAGGCTAGCTGCTAGTGATCCATTAGGCCAAACTATTTCAACTATTTATCCTTAAGCAAATTCTGTCCCAATTACAGCCCCCCCCCCAGCCAATTGCATCAGGCTTAGCTGGGATAGGAAATTCCAGGGGCTTCAAGCTAGACTGGGTGGTGTGAAATGAAATCACAACAAATCAAATCCACAGAAGGCAAAGCAAACCGTTTCCTTATTATTGCCAAGAAAAACAGCACGGATAGATCTGTGTGGACTCCATTTGAAGGAAATTTCCCTCCAAATGGAGGAGCTTCCTGAAAAATCTTGCATGCGTCCCTCTCAGTTTCAAACTTCACCACTAAAGAATGGGTTTTCTATCCGAGAGGACGAAAGGAAATGGTTAAATTTATGGGGAATAATAATAGTTGGTGTATATTTAAAAAACTTGAACAGAGTCCAAGATTTTGTTCTAGCTTCTCCCCCTTGCCTGCTCTGGCCTTGCTTGTTTGGGAAATGTGGCTTGCAGCCCTTGACCCAAAGACCAGCCAGCCTAAAACAATTAGACCTCCCTGTTTTTGTATCCTACTTGGCAGAAACGTTTTGACAGAGCAATGCTGGAAATGGGAGGACTGAATTCTGTGAATTCACCCTTGGGATACCGCACAGCTGGGTTGGAATTCAGCTCCCATAATCCAAACTGAACTTTAGAACAGATGAAGAACATCATGAAAGGACTCTAGGTCAGGGGTCCCCAACCCCCAGGCTGTGGCATGTCAGCAACCAGTCTGCACAAACAAGCGAAGCCCCATCCACGGGATGCAGGCAGCACACAAAACCACGCATCCTCCGGTCCGCGGAAAAACCTCTCCACGGAACCGGTCCCTGGTGCCCCAAAGGATGGGGACCTCCGATCTAGTTGTGTTTGCATGATACGAACTAACCAGCTCAGCCTTGGTGCTGAGCTTATAGTTCGGTAGTTCATACCGGCTCAGAAAACTGGTTCCATTGTATAAACCAGGCTTACACTTACTATAATTAAACATGTGCTGAGTATGCTCATTGACTAACAGCCAGTGGATTAAACTTTGGATAGGTGATCCTGTTTGTTATAGGTTGTGCCTGATTTTACAACTTTTTTTTTGTTGCTACCGTTTGTTTAAACAATCACTGCAATTGTTTAGTGAACCATGCGGTCATTAAGCAAATCCAGCGCACCCCCCCCCCCACCCCAACTGACTTTGCTTGTTGGAAGCCAGCTGAGAAGGTTGGGGATGGCAGCCATACAACACTGGGATGCTGCTGCAGCCGTCACAAATCCATGCTTTTTGCCAAGCACTCGAACTTTGATCAGGAAACTATAGAGATGCTGTTGAAAGAGTGGTAAGGGCAAGAGCTGGTTGCAAATCACTTTTTCACTGCTGTTCAAACAGTTGCTAAACGAATAGCTGTTAAGTCTATGATCCGTCGTTGAGGAGCGATGCTTTGATAGGGCACCAAAATATCCTTTCCTCTTCTGCATCGGGTGGCTGTCTCTATCCCTTTCTTCTGCAGGCTCCTTCAGAAAACACAACAGTGGGATCTTCCCACTCCCTCCCCGTTTGTTTGCTGGTAGCATCTGTTGTGTCAGCCAACAAGCCAGCATCTCTCTGACTGGAGCCAGGAGACAAGGTCCAGCTGTCCGCCCCTTCTCTTGTTCTTTCTTTAGCCCTCTTCTGTGCCCTGTTCTTCCCTTCGGTTTTAGCTTCCCAGCCTTCCTGCATCAATGAGAACAGAGCCAGCTTGTCTAGGACTCTATTTTCAGTTTCAGGAGCTCAACAAAGAACCTTTCTCTGTGTTGGCTGTTTGCAGGCGGCACCTCCCTTTCCTTCCAAGCCGATGAGAAGGTTTTTGTGAAAATCTTCAAGGTAGTTCACGCTGGCAGCGTCTCTGCTTGGGTTGGGTTCAAGGTGAAACGACCTAAAAATAATAATAATTTTGGGGAGTAAACCTCATGCTGGAAATAGGCTAAGCTCCTTCATCAAGTACGACTTCTGTAGTTAGTCTTCACACATCCAGAATTCAGCGGCAGAGTTTTGGAAAGGCTTTGCGAAGCGCCTGCTCTTTCTGTTTAGGAATTAAAAATATTGCCTTTTCTGGACGGCAGCTTTTGAGGGAAAAAGGTGTTGCGGGTGTTTCCCTTTTAGAGAGAAAGAAAACATGCTTAGAGGAGAAAGAGGAAGGAAACAGAGCACGTTTAGCACAGATAGAGGAAGTTACAGATCTTCTCTGTACAAAAAAATGTGTTGTTGTTAGTTGTGAAGTCGTGTCCGACCCATCGTGACCCCATGGACAACGGTCCTCCAATCTTCCTGTCCTCTACCATCTTCTGGAGTCCATTGAAGCTCACACCTACTGCTTCTGTGACTCCATCCAGCCACCTCCTTCTCTGTCGTCCCCTTCTTCTCTTGCCCTCCATCTTTCTCAGCATCAGGCTCTTCTCCAGTGAGTCCTTCCTTCTCATTAGGTGGCCAAAGTACTTGAGTTTCAACTTCAGGATCTGGCCTTCTGAAGAGCAGTCGGGGTTGATCTCTTCTAGGACTGACCGGTTTGAATACCTTGCAAAAAATAGACTAACCTAAAAAAACTGTTCAGTGTCTTAAGTCATACAAAAAAACACTCCTCTTCAGTGTGAGCTAACTCAGGTGGATGCCAAACCATGATTTATGGTGTGGCATGCCAATCTAGCACAGAACAATATGCAAGGCTAGTCTATTGGTGCTTATCACATGAACTTCATGTTTAAGATTGCATGACATTTATTTTTCTAGGTAGTTTAACAGGAATCTTTCAAGAAATATTTTTCCCGAGTGGGTAATTGCATTAGCCTAGAAGAGCAACGACTTATGGTTTCTCAAAGACAAACCAATTTATTACTACCTAAACCGGGCCAGCTTCTTCAGATGCATCAGAATGAAGTTCTACATGGTCCACTGAAGCAGAAAGCTTTAGTATGTTTGGAGCTCCTAAAAGTGCCACAGGACTTTTCTTTCGGGAATGTGTGATGGACGTGTCTTTGAGTCAGTTCTCAAGACATGGTATCATGGTTTCATTTGGATATTGGCCAACTCTGCGCTCTGCCTTTCTAACAAACCTAGCTGCCTCACAGCTCGTAGGAAACTATTTACAAGGCTTGCAAAATCTATCCAAGGAATTTCAAGATCCGCCTGAGTCAATCATGGGAAAGCCCAGTCTTGTCTCTTATGTCATGCTGCTGGTGGAAGGCATGCGCTCTGCAGTCTCACGCTTAGCCCGGGGAGCTGAATGTGGGTGGGTCTCTTTGGAAGTGTGGGAAAATTCTGAGCCCAGCTGCTGTAGAAAATGGGATGTCAAGGCCCATGGCATTTGTTCTGTTCTGCTTTTGCAGGAAGAAAGGAAAAGCAAGGGAGGATTCTAGAATAGGCATAGACTTCAGTGCTGCATTACTAAAAACCACAAATACAGTAGGTACAGTGTAGTCAATCAATCAGAATAGAATTGGAAGGGACCTTGGTGGTCTTCTAGTCCAACCCCCTGCTAAAGCAAGAGACCCTATACCATTTCAGACAGGTGGCTGTCCAGTCTCTTCTTAAAAACTTCCAGTGATGAAGGACCCACAACTTCTGGAGGCAAGCAGTTCCACTGGTTAATTGTCCTCACTCTTAGGAAGTTTCTCCTTAATTCCAGGTTGCTTCTCTCCTTGATTCGTTTCCTTCCATTGTTTCTTATCTTGTCTTCTGGTGGTTTGGAAAATAAGTTGACCCCCTCTTTTTTGTGGCAGGCCCTCAAATACCTATCTTGTATTTATGCTTATCTTGAATTGAGGCTTTCTGGTTCCTTCCCCACATCACCATGCCAGCTCCTTGTGGTTTGTTTTCATTTTGGGAAGGAGTGTTGAGCTGTGCTGGTTGCCATTGTAGAGTGGGTGTCTCAGGGTTGTTTGGGGTTTGCTCATAGTTGGGCAGACGATCCTCCTCAGGTGGGGACCAAGAAATTTGCAAGGGAACAGGATGGAGAAGTTTGTTCTTAGTGAAGCGTCCTGGAATTGTAGCTGCAAGCTGTTGAGGGCCTCTGGTTATCTAGGACGGGCCTTTTCCAAGTCTGTAGTTCTGAACCCTGGGACTTGATGGGATCCCATCAACAACAAGCCCCCCCCCAAATGACAGTTGGTTCTCTACTTACCACCATTCATTTTGTGGAGTAGAATTTTTTTCCCCCTCTTTTCCCCTTTTCTCTTTTGTGCAGGTGTTTGGAGTCCATCGTGATGTTCTACCGCCAGGGCCGGGAGGAAGAGCCTTACGTCACCATCACCCGCAAGAAGCATCTTCACAGCGACTGTGAGATCGAGATTGAGCAGGAAGTGGGACACCTGGTGCGCCGGCTGGTCACTCACCGCAACGCTTTCAAGCGCATGGCGGTCATTCAGGCCTTCCTAGGCTCCACCCCACAACTCACGCTGCAGCTTTATGTCACTTTAATGGAGCAATATACCCCGCCCAGCAGAGGTAAAGACAGAACAGGTCCAAAGGATGGGAAGGGAAAGGAAATTAGAGGGTAACTCAGCCCGCTGATATGGCCTTGCCATTTGCACTTTACAGCTTTCCAAAAACTCAAAGTGTGGTCCTGCAACTATTACTATCCCGGATGTAATAATTTACCAATTAAACTGAGCATCTGCATCATTCCTTTTGCAAAAGGTTCTTTAGCATCGAAACACGATGCCAGTGATGCTTTTAAAGACTTGCAAAGGAAACTTTCCGCCAGAACCTTGGCCCAGTTGCCAAAAATCTCAGGGGATCAGTGTAGATGCTTCTAGAAGATTCTACAATCCTTTTTAAGACTAGGCGGTAGAGCCAGTGTTCAAGGTTAGAAAAGCTGCAGCGCCCCATGGCTGGAGACTAAAAGACTGTCTAAAAGGCCCAGAAAAAGCAAATTAGGTCATCCATAACAGTCTGGTTGGTGAATTCTTGTCAACTGAGTGTCTGGAACCTGCGCCTCTGCTAGGTGTATGAGTTCAGTAGGTGTGGTTTTCTGCCGTCCTGGTTTAATAGACGCTTCTGCGCAATTCCCAAAGGTGTGGTTCCAATAATTAGTACTTATAAAATCGAAGGCAGGTATTTTAATTGCCAAGCTGGAAGGCCTTTTGCCATCTGCCTTCCGCGAGGGATGTCACCATGGAAACATGCAGATAGATAACACACCTATCGCCCTGTCCAGTGTGAGCAGGTGCTTTGAACAGCCTATCTCAGCCTGATGTTTTCCAGATGTGCATGATGTCAAGTTTAATCCCCTTCCAGGAATTTTTCTTCCTTTTCTCCTGAATGAATGGATGGATGCTTTATTGAAGTTTTAGACAGAACCATAGTCCCTGACTTAGAACAGTTCACTTATTAACTGTTCGGATTTAAAACGGCCCTGGGGAAAAAAGAACGTATTTTTCACACTTATGTCCGTTGCAGCATTCCCATGGCTACATGATCCAAATTCCGACCTTTGGCAACTGACTCACATTTATGACGGTTGCGGTGTCCCAGAATCGTGTGATTTCCTTTTGTGACTTTCTGACAAGCAACGTCTATGGGGAAACCAGATTCACTTAACTTACTAACTTAATAACTGCAGTGATTCGCTTAAGAAACGTGGCGAGAAAACTGGTAAAATGAGACACAACTCAGTTCACAAATTTCTCACTTAGCAATGTAAATTTTAGGCTCAGTTTGTGGTCATAAGTCAAGGACTACTTATATAAGTAAAACTATCAATGTAAAACTCAGGTCAAAGTTTAGTAATAAAATGAGTACATACACATCTTTTTAAAAAAACTGGACTCAACATTCACATGACTAATTTAGCTCAATCATCTGGAGATTCCAATTGTGTGTGATGAAAATCAGGAGTCTGGTAGCTTAAACTCACTAAGGTGTGGGCCTTTTAATAAGGTGTATTAGTTAGAAAAGGCTCTACAATACTAGCATCCCTGTCTAAAGGTCTCAAAGGAGGCTGTAGGTGTTCCATATGTAATTTCCTCATGTAGGAGACATACATGATGACTTTCGTATCCCCTGACCTGGAGTTGAAAGCCAGGAGAAATTTTTGTGTTTACAGAGTGTTTAATCTGGGTGGTTTTAACTTGCATTCATATAAGAGTATCACCAGTCCCTGTAAATGTAAAACAAGGTTTCGCAAGTAATGTTTGAGACTCTGTTAATAGACATTGGATGTACATTTGTGTAGGTGGCTTGGGAATTTTTGAAAGTCAGTTCCGCATTAGCCTTTGCCAAGAATCAGTGACAAAATGTGCTATTTCCTCTTGTTGTATATCCTCCATATTTACCCACAAGACTTCTCTAACCCTCCTAAGCAGATATAACCCAACAGGGAATTATTTGATTGGATGAAGGAAAAGGAAGTTAAAACTTATCAGGCTTTCATATCCAAACTGTCCAAGCTTGGCTTTGCTGAGTTCGGGTCAAAGAATTGAACTAGATCAGGGGTGGTGACCCTGTGGCACGGGTACCAGAGGCGGCACTCAGAGCCCTCTCTGTGGGCACGTACGCCGTCACCCCAGTCCTAGGCCTTCAGCTGGGTTTTATAAAACCTTTTCACTTTAGGCCTCGGCTGCCGTGTGCAAAAAAAAAAAAAAAAAAAAGTTCAATCAGTCAATTTCAACTTCTCGCGGGGAAAAAGATCTTGCAAAGTTGAAATTGATTGATTGAACTTTTTAGTCCCACCCAGTCTGCCGTTACCATCGCAGCCACGCCCACCCAATGGGCCACACCCACCCAATGGGCCACGCTCACCCAATGGGCCACACCCACCCGGCACTCGACAATGCATAAGTGGATTTTGGGTTGCAGTTTGGGCCCTCGGTCTCTAAAAGGTTCGCCAACTAGCCCAAAATCCACAACATTTCAGGTTCATGCAGAAAATAATATACGGAATCCACTCCTGCAAAACCTGGTGTAGATTAAGGTGAAAGAGGATTTTGGATTTTACCAGGGCACTCCACTTGGCTAACCAGTCTCGCTGGTTTTTTTTAGCTTAGCTCAGCACCTGGTTTATCCTCTAACTCCTTGTGAACTTTCAATATAGATTCTGGGAAAAGAGAGGAGACACACCCTGGGGCAGCTAATCTCATCCCCCTTCCTCCAGTTGCAGACACCTTCTGCCCCCTCCCAATTGCAGGCAACTTTCCTGTAGAGGATGGATATCCTCAGCTCCAGCATTTATTTGACCCTGAGACTTCTACATAGATAGTCCTCGACGTATAACCATTTGTTTAGTGACTGTTCGAAATTACAACGGCACTGGAAAAAATGACTTATGACCGTTGCAGCATTCCCACGGTCACATGATCAAATTTTGGATGCTCGGCAACTGGCATGTACTTACGACAGTTGCAATGTCCCGGGGTCATGTGATCCCCTTTTGCGAGCTCCTCATAAGCAAAGTCAATAGAGAAGCCAGATTCATTTGCTAACTGTGTTGCCAACTTAACAACTGCAGTGATTCACAGCACCCGTGTTTTTTACAAGTTGATCAACCCATGGTGGCTTTTCTTGGCTCACCCTTTCATTTTCCCTTCCCTTTTAGCTGTCCTGATGAGCATGTGCTTACTCTCGGTCACTTACGGGGCATTGGTCTGCAACACCTTGGCCATCCAGATCAAGTACGATGACTACAAGATCCGCCTCCACCCGCTGGCCTTCCTCTGTATCCTCTTGTGGAGGGGTCTGGAGATCTCAACCCGCATCACCATCTTGGTTCTCTTTGGGACCGTCTTCAAATATTACAGCTTGGCGGTGGGCGCGGCCAACTTTCTGGTGTTCTTCTTCTTACCGTGGGTTGAGTTTTGGAGGAGCGGGGCCAAATTACCCGAGAACGTGGAGAAGAACTTCAGCCGGGTGGGAACTTTGACTGTGCTGGTCAGTATCACTTTGCTGTACGGTGGCATCAATGTCTTCTGTTGGTCGGCTGTCCAGCTCAGATTGTCCAGGAGAGACTTGATTGTTAGGTCCCAAAACTGGGGCTGTTTAGCTTTATTCTACGTGTTCCGGGGACTAGAGAACAGTCTGCTGCTTCTGGTCTGGTACTTCTTCGACACGCAAATCTACGAGTCCCTCTGTACTCCCATGCTGGTGCTGCAGCTGCTTGTGGCGTACTGCCTGGCCATTGTCTTCATGCTCTTTTTCATGCAGTACTTGCATCCCTGTCGCCGCCTCTTCACACACAACGTCACTGACTTCTTGCATTGTGTCTGTTGTCAGAAGGAAGAAGTTGCCATCTCTGTCGATTTGGAAGTACCTCATGAACCTGGTGTGAGGCACAGCATAGTATGACGATCCACACAATGCTGATGGGATGGTTATGAATCCCGTCCTGTTACGTTTCCGCAGTGGTACCTGTTTACCCCACCGGGATAAGCCTTAATTTCACGGTGCTATGTTATAATTTATATGAAGGATGCAGCTGATCGTGGTGGCGAGGCATTCTAGAGCATCCGCTGGACTTTATGATGGTGGGTTGTAAGGATACCCTTTACCATTGTGGGTGCGGGACTAGGACAATCAGTATCAGGGACAGCAGAAGAAGATGTTGCATAGTATGAAAGAGGAACTCTAGTTGATGGGGCAAACCATCAACGAAGGATGGTCTTGCTCATCTAGGTGCTGGCAGTTTGGCACCAGGACTCCCCTGGCTGTACTCATTTTCAGAAATGGAACTGAAGGAGCCTCAGTTGGCTCAAAGGGAGAACTGTTGCAAAAAGAGGCTTTGAAGAAGAGTGGCCAATGGAGACTGTCTTATATCTGTGTGATACTGCAAAGTTGGGAAAAACTTCAGAGTCACTTTCCCAGCCTTTGCTTTTATTTATTTGAAAACTTGCGAAGACTTTATTGTTGTAATTTGAAGTGCTGGAAAAGATGTTGCCATTCATAGCAACTTGATCTCAGAATTTGTTTGGGTTTCTACAGTTCCAGGTGATCCATGCTCAGGCTGAAAGCTCAGGATGAGCCCCTTTGGTGGAGGATGAGCTTTGGATTTCTTGCATCCAGATCTTCAGGGATGTTGCAGCAGATTGGCCTTCCCAAATGCCCTGGAAGGACAAAGCTAGTGGCTGACTGCTACATTGGTGGCATCCTTCAAGAGAAAAGGGCTGAGATTGAACTTGTTGAGCTGGTGATGGGAAGCTGGACCATTCCACATCCAGGTTGTGGTTCTAGAAGGTGATCAGCTCGTTATAGTTTGGGCTGTCACTTGGGGAGGTGAGCATTTCCCAACCACTTGGCTGGACCCCATGCAAAGATATACTTGGAGTGTTTTCTTTTTTTAAAAAAAATCCATTATGTTAAAATGCTCAGGGCTACGAACCCAATTTGGCCAAGCTTCTTGGCCTCCCAAACACTTCCCATGCTATGTAGCGCAAGGATGTTCTTGAACACGAGCTTGTCCAATAGATGGGTCTTCAAATGCTTGTAAGGAGTACGGGCTGACATGTCGAGTTACATATTTGACCCCAACAATTTCCTTGTATGAACTGATTTCTCTTTGTACCTCTCCTCTATTGAGCTAAGACAAGGGGGTGTCCAAACTTGGCAGCTTTAAGACTTTTAAGACCAGCATGGCTGGCTGAGGAATTCTGGGAGTTGAAGTCCACAAGTCTTAAGAAGTTGCCAAGTTTGGAGATCCCTGAGCCTACAGATAGGCCAGACTTTGAGTTAAAGGACCACTCTGTGTGGGATTTTGGTGCTCTTGCGTAGAAAGCTGATCTGTGACCGTCCTTCCTCTTTATGGTTATTTCTATTCCAATGAGCAGGGTGAACAAGACCTTCAGCAGTAATAATTCAGGAAGAAAAACAGCATTCGGAGCTATGGTCCTATGACTACCTAAGGCCGGTTGGTGTCTGGAAAAGCGGGTCCAAAGTCTTCAATCTCATAACTAGAGGAGGTTTCATATGGATGCTAAGCCCAGGAGTAGAGGCAACACAGTGTAATTTAACTGCCCTTTTATGCTACATCAAGATGGCCCCTGTGGACACTTTGGATGTTCTCACTTGTATAGTGACAGGCATACTTTTGGGTTAGCCTTTACCAGCCCCCAAATATTATGCTTGGTGGCTCTTTCCATCAACAGCCAATATGGAAAGGTTAGAGAAGGCCAACTTTGATTGACGAGGAGATTCCTGTTGGTATCTTAGACCAGGGGTAGGCAACCTTGGCTCTTTTATGACTTGTGGACTTCAGCACCCAAAATTCCTACACCAGCCGTGCTGACTCAGGAATTCTGGGAGTTGAAGTCCACAAGTCATCAAAGAGCCAAGGTTCCCCACCCCTGCCTTAGACCCTATCCATCTTCGTACTTTTTTTTTTTTGCCTATTCTTCACTGCCAATAGGAACAAAAAAAGGGGTGTCTTTAAAAACAAAATAGTCCATTCTGGGCTGGCCTTTAAATAGGCTGGTTTGAATTTCTACATTCTTTAAATCCTCATTGCGTTTGTATTGCCTTTGCTGAAACCAAAGCATTCTTTTGCTCCTGAGATCCACTCTGGCCTGAAATAAACCCAGCTTCAGGGGAACATTCAGACACTGCCTTCTTCCGCTTCAGGTTGAGCAGGAGTCTGGTCTTTCAGCAAGGCAGCACAAGCCAATGTAGCAGATAACGAGCCGAGCCAAGCCTTGGGTAGAGTTTCACCCTCTCCACTGGCTTTCAGAAGACAGCTGAACCCAGCCAGGAATGATCACCTACCTCAAAGAGAGATTCCACCGCTGCCTTTTTGACTCTCTTCTCCTGTGATTAAACCAGGCGTCCAGATCAGGTTTTAGGACCAGGCAATCTTAAGACTAGAGGCATAATTTATTTTCCCTAATTCTCCATTTCTTTTTAGTGCGTAATTTCCTGAAGGGTAGCCATTATGGCCAGGAGCTTCCCATATGTTTTGTCTTTCTCTTCTCTTCTCTTCTCTTCTCTTCTCTTCTCTTCTCTTCTCCTCTCCTCTCTTTTCTTCTCCTTCCCTCTCCCTCTCCCTCTCTCTCTTTTCCCCTTAAATGAAGCAAAATGCATCTAGGGATTTAGGAAATAGACAAGCGCAGCAATTAAAACATTGTCCTGAACTACTTCTTTGAAATGACTATTCCCCGCCCCCCCTTTTTTTTGCTTTGCTGCCTTCTCTTTGGATAGAAGAGATGTTTGGAGGAATGTGAGAGTTCTGCCTAGTATGTCTTAAATCTATTCCTTTTCAAAAGATAGCTATTCTGAAGGTTTTTGAGGGAGTTAAGCAAAATTGCACAATAAAGGTTTTTTTTTTCCTCTCTCTCCCTTTAGATTGGAGGTTGAAGATTGGATGATGGATTGGTTCCTGTTATTTATGAAAAAAACAAAACCAAAACTCTTCCCTACATATAGAAAACTAGCATATTTTAGGAAAGAGTTCCCTATACAATTATCCTAGTCCAGCATGTCTCAACCCTCCACCCTCCAAGTACACCAAATTACCACCTTTAGAATTTGCAGCCAAATTTAGGATTTAAATCCGATTGTTCTGCTCTAGCCAAGACGTTGTTCTGAAGAGACCACAAATATACTATTCCTAATTAAAATATCTATTTTTAAATGCACGAACCTTCTGTTTTTGATATTCAGGTAAGAGGATGTTTATTTAGGCATAAGGTACCATTTATACAAAAGGCAATGAATCACAAGTGTTTGGAAATCTTAATGTTTACAGATGTATCTCCCTCTGCAAAAAACAAAACCTTCATTAAAAAGGAGGACCTCTTATTAACCTAGCCAAGGAAGATTAATCATAATCCGTGGCCATGAAAAACGTACTGTTGAAATAAAGTACTTTCCAGCTAAATGTGTGTGAGCATTCCACCTTCTTTGTACCATAGACACCACTCAATGCAATTGTGTACTACCATCTCATACTATGTTCTCGTAATTTATAAAAGAACTTAGGAGAACTTTTTTTAGCTGATGGAACATACAGTCTTGCAATACAGTTGGGACAGTAAAAGATACAAGCAATCAGGTCCATCTGTTGACATGAAGTATTTTAAATCTCTTAGGTCATGCTTTTAAATATAGACTCTCAGCTCAGGATGGCTTTGGATAGAATCCGATTATATTCTAGAAAGAAGCTTAGTAACAGACAAACACCTTCCACTGGGTGGCAGAATTGGCAATACGATGTGATATTAAGAAAGGTCAGTTGTGAAGCAGGACAAAAAAAGGGATACCCTAAATCCAAAACCGAAACTTGCATTTTAAATCTATAGCGTGTTGGGTAGACGTGAGTTTGCCTTTGCGATGTTGTGTATTGTCTATCAAATGCTGTAATTCTGATTACTGAATGCTGTCGGGTGCCAAATATTATTCCATACCATCTATAATAGAGTCAGATATTGCAAACTCTAGTACTGCATGCGTTGTCAACTTTTGTAAACCGTGAAATACAGTTACGTATCAACTTTCGAAATACCTATGAAATATGAAGTACTCTAGTGAAATAAACCTTTAATAAAATGTGAAACACAGATTTAAAACATTCTGGAGAAAAAAACCCTTTGATTGATTGGATTAAATTATGTTTCAGCTCTAATACAGGTACACTTTTAAGCTTTGATTTAGCTGTGGAGAAGCTAAATCTCTACTGGACATCAACAGAGCATCAATGTACGGCAACAACGGAGTCCAAAATTGCTAAGTGAGTTTTGCCCCATTTTGCGAATTTTCTTGCTGTATTTGTTAAGTGAATCACTGCATTTCTGAGATTAGTAATACGGTTGTTAATTGAATCTAGCTTCCCCTTGCTCGTCAGAATGTGGCAAAAGGGGGTCACATGACTCTGGGACACCTCAACTGTCATAAATGTGAGTCAGTTGTCAAGCATCCGAATGTAAATCACGTGACCACGGGAATGCTGCAATGGCCATAAGTGTGAAAAATGGTCATAAGTCACTTTTTCCAGTGCCGTTGTAACTTTGCTCACTAAATGAATTGCTGTAAGTTGAGGACTACCTGTTCTACCTGCAAAACACTTCTTCAGTATTTTCTCCTAGACAAGGAATGAAAACACCTAAACAGCCCCCCTTTTTAAGCCTTGCAGAGTAAGTACTCCCGCTAATGCAAAAATTCAAATGCCTTCTGCATTTTCCCATTTATTCTCCAGCACTTTGACAGAAATTGTTTCTTCCACTCTCCCTTTTTTAAAAAAAGTAGGAAATTGAGCCTAATCTGAAAGGGAAGCCGATATCTCTGTGTGACAAGCGTGGATGAAAGCTGTGGGTGATCTAACTTGAGCCAGACTTGCAGATCAAAGGCTCTGGAATGAGAGATCTTAAAACCAAAGGGGAAGCTATCCCCACTGGTTTATTTATTTATTTTTTTTAATGCACAATTTCTCTATTAGCCATTTTGGGCAAAGAACAAGCCTCAGATTCTGCATGTGCTCATATTAACCTTGATTATGTCAGGCATGAAGAATTGAGACACACACATCATATTCCAGTTAAGATGATTTATTGCTCATGTCTATATACAAGAATCTAGCCAGCTCTAAATTGGCATTTGATAAGTTAGCAGAATTCAAGAAGGGTTGGTCTTAGGCTGCTCGTAGGAATGTAACAACTCTAGGCTGCTTCCTCTCTTGACTCTGCCCCCAGGTTCCACCTGCCCTTGTCTTACAACTTAGTTTGAACAAAGGATGATGGCAATTTGTTTAATGTGTTGTGCCAATCCAGTTTCTGCTTCAATGAATAACCCAGAAAATGGACTAATTGCTTCAATATGTTCTCCTGGGGAGCTTTGAGAAGACTTCTATCTCGCTTTATCCACTGCGGGAACTGTAAAATGGAGGTTGGTATGAACATTAATGCCTTTCTGACTTTCTTGGTTGATGTGTTTCTCCTGGTTTCAGGCCACAGCACTGATCCTTTGCAAACTGATGTTCTTCAGATGTTTAGGAATTACATAATCTAAGGCCATCTAAAAGCCAGGTTGCCTGAGAATTTTTGAGAGCTACAATCCCAAAATAATTGCACATACATCATATTTCAAAAAAACCTCTTCCCCTCATCTATGAATGGAGCACTGAAACTGATGCTTGTGAGGCATAACAACAACAACAACAACACCATAACAATAACAATAACAACAACACCATAACAACAACAATAATAAAATTGGAAGGGATCTTGGAGGTCATCTAATCCAACCCCCTGCTCAGGCAGGAAACCTTATACCATTTCGGACAAATGGCTGTCCAGTCTCTTCTTAAAAACTTCCAGTGTTGGAGCATTCACCGCTTCTGGAGGCAGGTTGTTCCACTGGTTAATTGTTCTAACTGTCAGGAAGTTTCTCCTTAGTTTTAGGTTGCTTCTCTCCTTGGTTAGTTTTTACCCATTGCTTCTTGTCCTGCCTTCAGGCGCTTTGGAGAATAGCTTGACTCCCTCTTCTTTGGGACAGCCCCTGAGATACTGGAAGACTGCTATCCTGTCCCCCCTCGTCCTTCTCTTCATTAAACTAGGCATCCCCAATTCCAGCAGCCGTTCCTTATATGTTTTAGCCTCCAGTCCCCTGATCATCTTTGTTGCTCTTCTCTGCACTCTTTCTAGACTCTCAACATCTTTTTTACACCGCGGTAACCAAAACTGCACACACATAATAAGGACAGATGAAGTTCGATTACTGATAACTTTAGACCATGCTTGTGGTATTCTAATCAATATTTTTGTTCTTCAAAATAAGGTGATTTTTTTTTTAATTACAACTTTACAAGAGACAAAAGACACTATTTCCTTTTCTTAACCCTGCAAGGGAAAAACCCAAGCCAGCCTCCTAGGTTGGGCTGGACTAAAGATACTCCATTTCCTCCCAAGACTAAATCAATAAAGAGAGAAAGCCAGTTCAGGCTTTGCTAAGAAGCAGGAAGGACCAGCAGAATCAAGAGAAGCTGCTCCCAGTTCAGACCCAGACAAGGACTGGGCAAAAGCAACTGGTCTGTGAGGGTCCAGGATGGGGAACTGGGCCGTCAACCACTGGTTTTCAGCCCTGGTGATCGTAAGTTCTGCTTTATTATATCTGGGTCTGGCTGGGAAGTTAGATAAAGGACAAAAGGTCGGGCCAATACCTACTTCAGGAGGCCCCATTTAATGTACAACAAATATATTATCTGCAAGAGGCTCCTGGTTTAACCTTAAGAAGAATGGGACCAGTTTCACCAGTTTAATAAACTTGGGATGGAGCAGCAAAGAGCGCTGCTGCGTGAAGTTCTAAAGTTCTACTCAAAGCTACGCCAGGGTGAACAAACTTTGATGGTTAAGGGGTTTTTATTTGCTTTATTTTTTTGTTATTCTCTGTATCAATAGATCTATAGATACAGATACATAGATAGATCAGTATCTGTGATGTCATCATGTGCTGGCCAATTTGGCTTAAGCCGTTTACTTAATTTCTTAATTACTTAACTTCGTCGTGAACTTATTTTTGTTGTGAGTTACAGAGTGACAATAAAGATATTCCGTTCTATTTTAGGGTTGGTTTTTTTAGGTTTGGAAACTCTTAGTGCATTTAAAGAGTACTAAGACTATGTCATGTCTGTCTGTCTGTCTGTCTGTCTGTCTTGTCTATCTATCTATCTATCTATCTATCTATCTATCTATCTATCTATCTATCTATCTATCTATCTATCTATCTATCATCTATCTATCTTCTCCACTGTATCTATCTCAATGTCATGTCTGTCTGTCTGTCTGTCTGTCTGTCTATCTATCTATCTATCTATCTATCTATCTATCTATCTATCTATCTATCTATCTATCTATCTATCTATCTATCTATCATCTATCTATCTTCTCCACTGTATCTATCTCAATTCTGTCTGTCTGTCTGTCTGTCTGTCTGTCTGTCTGTCTGTCTGTCTGTCTGTCTGTCTATCTATCTATCTATCTATCTATCTATCTATCTATCTACCTACTTACCTACCTACCTACTTACCTACCTACCTACCTACCTACCTACCTACCTATCTTCTCCACTGTATCTATCTCAATTCTGTCTGTCTGTCTGTCTGTCTGTCTGTCTGTCTGTCTGTCTGTCTATCTATCTATCTATCTATCTATCTATCTATCTATCTATCTATCTATCTATCTCCACTGTATCTATCTATCTCAATTCTGTTTGTTTGTCTGTCTCTGTCTGTCTGTCCTCTCTCTCTCTCTCTCTCTCTCTCTCTCTCTCTCTCTCTCTCTCTCTCTCTCTCTCTCTCTCCCTCCCTCCCTCCCTATCTATCTACCTACCGACCTATCACTTCTGTTTGGAAAGTGCCAGGAAATCATACTGTTGGTGACTGGCACCTCACGGCTGACAATAACCCCTGCTAGCCTTTCCTGTTATGATTAAATCAAACTCACCTCAGGTCTGAACCATCATCCCCACCCGTGGCAGTGGAATTCCAAAAACTCTCAGTGTTGGAAAGAGTTATATATAAATGAAATATATTATCAAGGGGACTGTCCCCATCTTGTAGCTCAAAGAGAATACAGGACAAGACTAAATCGTGAGAGCCATTTTGGTGTGGGAGTTGAAGGGCTCTTGGTTAGAAATCGGGAGAAAGTGGCTTTTTTTTTTTTTAGGCAGGCAACCTTGCTGGTCTTTGGGCTGCTCTGTCCCTCTCAGCCCACGCTACCTCACAGGGTCACAGTTGTAGAGAAAATAGGAGCGTTAGGTATGTACGCTGCTTTGAGTTGGGTTGCCACAGAGATAAACATACTGTGGTTACAAACTTGTGCGGTTCATCCCTGTAAGACTTTGAGGATTAGAAGGCTTAACAGTGGAAAGCTGCACATGCCTAGAAGAGAAGGTGACGTAGGAAATGGTAGGGATATTTTTTAAAACTGAGACTTAAGGCATCGCATGCGGTACAGTCATCCTCTGATAGACCCCCTTCTTCTACCGCAGTCCTTTTCTGTCCTTTTCTGTCTGGTCTCTCGTGCTGAAGCCTCTTTGTGTCAGCCAACCCAGCTTTTGCTTCTGCTAACTCTTTGTTGAAATATGGGAGTGATAAAATAACAAAGCTCCGAGTATCTTCGAAGCATGGTGTAAATAAAACCAACAATCGTATCAGTGACCTAGTTATGTTCATGAAGAGAATGACAGAATTAGTCAACCGTGAAGGATATGATACTACTTGGAGCCAAAGTTTTGAGTCATGAAATGTAGTGAGGGGCAGATGACTATCCAGGCAATACAGGCAAATAGGGAAAAAAGTCAACAGAGTTAAGGAGAGAGAGAGAGAGAGAGAGAGAGAGAGAGAGAGAGAGAGAGAGAGAGAGAGAGAGAGAGAGAGAGAGAGAGAGAGAGAGGGGCTGTATAGGGGTTTCTGATAGCTATTTAAAGGTGTCCCTCCCGTTAAATATATATTTTTTTATAAATCTCTGAGATCTTGTTGTGAGATCACAGCAAATGTTGATCTAACCAGCACTGTCTTCCCACTTTCTGGGAAGGCTGCTGGTTACAAGTAGTTCTCAGCTTACGATCACAACTG